AGCACCATAAGAATGCGGACACCATTGGACAGTATCATTACTACCACATGCAAGTAAAATTTTACTAACAATAACTCAAAGAGTTGCAACAGAGATTCAAACCAGATTTGGATGAAGGCGGTGAATAAGGGCTATCATTGCTGATGGATCTTGACTGAATACAAAGATGGATCTTGGCTCAATACAGAGAATACCAGAAAGATGTTTACCTGTGATTTTGGTGTAGGGCTGTAGGATAAGCACTGAAGCGTAAGGTGGGTGTGAAACACAAGGTCAGCTGTTCAAACTTACCAGCCGCTCCTTGGAAGCCCTATACGGGTTCGCTATGAGTCAGAATTGACTCAATGGCACCTAATAACATTGACTACACAAAGGCTTTTGAATGTGTAGATCATGACAATCTATGAGCAACACGGTGGAAAATATTCCAGAACACTTAATTGTGTTCATGAGAAACCTAAACATAGACCAAGAGGCAGTCGCTTGAACAGAACAAGGGAACATGGAACGGTTTATACTTAGGAAAAGTGTGCACCAGTGTTGTATTCTTTCACTATACTTATTCAATATGTATACTGAACAAAAATCCCAGAAGCTGGTTTATATGAAGAGAAACATGGCACCAGGAAGACTCATTAACAACCTGTTATATGCAGATGATACAACCTTGCTTGCTGAAACTGAAAAGAACTCAAAATTCAGATTTAACAACCTGTAATATGCAGATGATACAACCTTGCTTGCTGAAACTGAAAAGAACTTAAAATTCAGATAACGATCAAAGATCACAGCCTTCTGTACAGCTTGCACCTGAATGTTAAAAAAAACAAAACAAAAATCCTCACAACTGGACCAATAAATAACATCAAGATAAACGGAGAAAACATTGAAGTTGTCAAAGACTTCATTTTACTCAGATCAATCATCCAAACTCACAGTAGCAGCAGTCAAGAAATTAAATGACAGATTGCATTAGACAAATCATCTGCACAACACCTCTTTCAAGTATTCAAGAGCAAAGATGGCAGTTTGAGGACCAAGTATGCCTGACCCAGGCCATGATGTTTTCAATACATGCATATGCATGTAAAACTTGGACAATGAATTAGGAAGATTGTAGACTTTACTGCATTTGAATTATTGTGTTAGAGGAGAATATTAAAAGTACCATGGACTAACAAAAGAACAAATAAATCTGTACTGGAATAAATACAGCCAAGAGTGCTCCTTAGAAGCTAGTATGGCCAGACTTCATCTCTCCCATTCTGGACATTGTATCAGGCAAGGCCAGTCCCTGGAAAAGGATATCATGTTTGGTGAAGTAGAGGGTCAACTAAAAAAGAAGAAGACCTCCAAAAAGATGGATGACCCAGTGGCAGCGGCAATGAGGTCAAGCAGAACAATGTTGGTGAGACTTGCACAGGACGGAGCAATGTTTCCTTCTATCGTCCATAAGGTCGCTATGAGTTGGTACTGACTCAACGGCACCTAAAAATAACCCTTCCCTGAAGAATTCTGTGCTTCTCAATTTACACCACCTCAAAACAGCAATTTCAACATACTTGAGGCACTCAAGTCATGTTCCCTTTATATGTTCTTTGAATTTGGGGAACAAAAAAAAAATCTGACAAAAATAGGGTAAAATCAGAACTGCAGGATGGATGACGTATAGTTAGTTTCCCACCAAAGTTTTCGTAGGGCAGTCTTTGCTCCCCGAAAGAATGAGCAGGTGCCTTGTGATGGAAAGCAACTCCTCAATGCAACTTCCCTGGCCCTTTTCTCACCAGTACAGATTTCAATTTACTTTAAATTTCTTCCTAATAAACCATCATTCTGTGCGCTTCAAGAAAAATCTATCAAGATTACCCCTTGGGGATCCCACAAAACAGTCAACTTGTGAGCTGACCTTAAATTTCACTGGCCTAGTAGGTCCCTTTAGAAGCCACTATTTATTTTGTTTTGTTTTTTGAAGACTTAGTTTCATTGAAGACATGTAATGAGACTAAGACAAGTGTTTTGCTGAAAGAACTTGTCTGCAGCCATCCACTGATCACAGAGACACGTCTATACACATTTTATTTGGAACAAACCTGTGCGTGCATGAAGTTTTTGCCATTACTTTTGATTTACCTTCATATCATTAGAATCTTTAAACATAAACACTTCCAAGGTCAAACATACTTGATGTGGCCAAATTAGAAGAGGTAACTATTCAAAGATCAAACTAGACCAAAACAAAGATTACAAGGTCCTCAGGTATGATTCTTATTCTTTGTCTTCCTATTATGTCAGTATACAGATATTAACACAAGGGTTATCAACAACAGCACAATCAACTCTTAAGCTGAAAGTTTCAGTAAATTACATGTACCCCTTTTTTTTCTCTTTAGACTTCTCCTTTGTTATTTATCACAAAATATGTTTTATCTTACAATCAAATAAAAGGGTTTAATAACTTGCTGCTCCCCAACCACCAAAAAAGTCAAGATATGGAGAAAATTACTAATACCAATAACCCTCCAAGAAAAGAATGATCTCTTACTCATTTGTAAAGACAAGGAGAAAAGATGGACATAAAAATACAGAGTAAGTCATATTGCTATTGTGTCAATACATAAATAAAATGCAAAAGATTAAAATTAAAGATACAAAAAGACAGCACTGTTTATAGATTTTAAATTCTCACCTGATTAATCTGTGTTAATTCACTAACTGAACTTTGCAGCTTGTGTAGCTCCTGCACATACACAGCAACTTCCTGGGGTCCTTTGGCAAGTTCATTCCTTAGCTGGCTTATTGTGGCCT